GTGCTCCTGGTTCTCAGATTCACCTCAAAGCCTTTAATAAGGTAACTAAACTCCATCATAACAAAAATGAAATACCTGGAGAAACTGCACACACTGCTTCCTTGAGTCTCTGCTGAGAGAAAAAGAGAGAGCTAGTCAGAGATCCTTAGTATGAACTGAGTAAAAATTTAGCATATTCCCCAATATAATTCCGTGCATCCATTAACATTGGATACCTTATTCACATTTTGGGATATGTTATGTTTTGTTTAACCATTCAATAGTTTATTGAATAAATCAACAGTTGGCTTGGTTTGCACTATATGCTAAGTAAAAGTAACTTTGTGTTGTGCGCCAGTTGCAGCCTTTCCTGGACAAGGATTACCTGCGCTCAGTCCCTACTCATCTCACGGCCGGACTATTGTAATGTGCTCTACATGGGACTACCCTTGAAGAGTCTTTGGAAGCTACAGCTGGTGCGGAGTGCAGCAGCATGGGTAATTTTGGGCCTCCCTAGAATGGTCCCTATAATACCACTGCTCCGTGAGCTGCATTGGTTACCAGTCTGCTTCCGGGTGCAATTCAAGGTGTTGCTGATCACCTTTAAAGCTCTTCATGACATTGGGCCAGGATACTTGAGGGACTGTCTCACCCCCACTGGGATTGGCCTGTACTACTTGTGCCGGCAGCGGAGTCATGCTGCTGGTCCCGTCAGCCAATTATTCTAGCTGGTGGGGTCCAGGAGGAGGGTCTTCACTGCTGTTGCTTCTGCCTTCTGGAACATCTTGCCCCCCCCGATGTGAGGTTGGCTTCAACTCTTCTATCTTTTCGTAAAGGCCTAGAGACATGGCTTTGCCAGTTGGCCAAATCTTACTGGAATTTTGAGGGTAAAATTAGAAATTTTGAATGTACAATTTTGGCCAGGGTTACAGGGTTAACTGTGGAAATGCAGTTTCCCTTCCAGAGACTTCCTGCTCCCATTGCCACCTATATTTTTTTACAGTATACAATACTGTAAGATACAGTATATCTTGCCATTTCGGTACTGGGGGTTGTAAACAAAATTAAAAGAAAAACAGATGTAAAGACTCTTCTGTCGGCCAAACACACCTACTTGGCCTATTTCATTTTTTAAAATGTCCCACAGGGTAAACCATTTTGCTCTTCCCATCTATCAATCAAATCCCATTAGTTCTTACAGTTCTTACAGTTGTCTACAGTTACTAAAAAAAGCGACTGTCCACAACTGAAACAAAAAGATTCACATTCTTCAGCCCAGCCCCACAGGCAGTTGTTTAGCCACACCACCTGAGAAAGGAGCAAATAGGCTCTTACTCATGAGTCCATCACTAAGCATGATGCACAAACTTATTTAATACAGCCATCAGTGCTGAGCAAATTAGCCACTGCTGAGTTAATAGAAGTGCTACAAAGGAATTTTCAGTGTTGAGAGCAGATCAATTAAACCCAAATTAAAATAAAGCTAATATGGTAAGCTATAAAATCAGTAGGTAGAACTTACAGCTGATCCTGGAATTCTGTTAAGTTATTTTTATCTGCAAGTCACAAAGTGAGAAAATAGAAGCCTGAAAACCTAGGAATGGTTATACTATTAAATAGTACATACACTTGAGCTTAAGGAATCTAAATCAGAGTGAACTGATTAAGTCATCTTCTTTCATATCTGAAAATTAGTTATCTTGGTTCAGCTAAAGAAGTCCAGTCAATATGGAATATAGGCTTGCAAAATATATTCAATTGTTTAAGAGACTGCTAGAGCCCCCCAAACCATAAATACAAGCCTATCACATAGCTCTATAAAACCAAGCTTATCATATAAGAAATTACATAGATAATATACTTTAAGTGGTGAAATCAAGGAGCGGTTTGTAATTTTTGTAATTTTTTTTAAAAATGAAATTTTATAAACTTTCTTGAGAGTAAACTGTAAGTGGAGTACTGTACTTCAGTAGATAAGAGGCAGCTATGTATGCAGGCAAGTAACCCTACACTTTTTGTAACCTGGAATATAGCGTGAAATTTACATGAATATCTATCTGGCTTGGGTTTATTGCTACGTTTATTATGATCTATAAACGTATCAATATACTACTTGGGAAACAAATATATTAAATAAAATAGATAATACAGATAATTGGATTTAAGGTTATTAAAATCAATTTAATGCAGAATTTCTCATAGCTTTAGTTCTAATAATTGCCTAAACTGGTTAGAATACTACAGTTTATATAATGATGGCAACGTGACACCACGAGTTTGACACCCGTGATATAATAGATGAAATGATTTATCTATGACAACAAAACTTGCTTTTATAGGTACAGGTGGTCCTCAAGTTACAACCACAATTGAGCCCAAAATTTATGTTGCTAAGCAAGACATTTGTTAAGTGAATTTTGCCCCATTGTATGACCTTTCTTATCATAGTTGTTAAGTGAATCACTGCAATTGTTAGCAACACGGTTGTTAAGTGAATCTGGCTTCCCCATTGACTTTGTTTGTCAGAAGGTCGCAAAAGGGGATCACATGACTCTGGAATACTGCAACTGTCATAAATATGAATCACATTTTTATCTCATGACCATGGGAATGTTTGCAAGAGTTGTGAAAAACAGCCATAAGTTACTTTTTTCAGTCCCATTGTGACTTTGAACAGTCACTAAATGAACTGTTGTAAGTTGAGGACTACCTGCATGCTGATCAAACTGCTTACTAATAGCAGAACTAAAACTCTATAGCAGGCAGCAATTATTACCAATCTCCAGTGCTGCTGGGGACTGGCTGAAGGTGAAAGCAATTTCCTCTTCTCCACTGTTGAGATTGGACAGGTCTAAGCAACGCCTTGGTGTATCCCTACAAATTGTGAACAGGAAGGCTGAGTCAACCTTGAGCCTGGCAGGATTCGATCTTACTTTAATTGCAGACAGCTGGTGTTAAATTACAGTGCTTCTGTCTGTTGAGCTAAACCAGGCTCAAACTTCCCATTTTAATATATCCCCGGACGATAACATCTAACCTAAGATGGTACTTAAGATTGGATCAAAGCCAATTTAGTCAAGTGTCATTGAAACCAATATAAAGAAGTGAGAAAATGGCTAAGTTTGACTGTACACTGTACAGTAGACTAAAGTTTATGGCTCCCAGATTAGATGTAAAGGGTCAGAACCCCAAAATGGAATTTTTAAAAATCTCCCTCTTCCCCTATAATTCAAAGCTGCAGTTTATTAATCTTATCATTTACTGCTGGTTAAACAGAGGATCCGTGACAAGTCACCCTCTCTGACCATCTAAATGCTCTTGGGTTTGCTTAACAACCAAGATTATACACAGGATGAGTTACAGGTAGTTCATAAACCTCCCCCTTATACAACTACCAAACTCAGTGTAGTCATTTTCAAAGTTGGCATGTTATCTAAACTATAAAGTAAATATAGTGACCCAATATGCACAGTCTTTATACCTACTTATGTCTGGTGAAAACCTGGAGACCACTTATTCATGTTTTAGCTATGTTTAATTTTTCCTGAAACTAAATATATTGCCTAACCATGGATTTAAGAACTTTTATAAATGGACTGCCATTTATAGTTCTTGGGCATACAGTATTCCCTAATATGATTGTTTAAAAAGAATTAAAATTTCAGATTAGTTTCCCAGCTAATTCTGTGCCACACCTTTGGAAAAAAGAGAAAATGTTCCACCCCACATTATTGCATCAAACAAGAAAAAAAATTACCCTGCTAAAGTGCTAAGGTTTTGGAAATCCCAAGTGAGATTCAACACAGGAGTAAGAGGTGGTTCTGGAGTAAACGGCAGAGATATCTTGACATCCTGGATCATATTCAGTGCCATCCTGTAGCTAGATTGAAACCTAAAAGGAGTAAATAATAATTTCTACAAGGGGATAATTTTCAGGTAGCTTTACTGATCGCTACGAAGACACCACTTAAAACAGCAGCTTCCTTTTTTTACAAGCCTGTCTCTTTATTGTAATAATCACAATTTAAGAGCTCACAATCAGGTACCTAAAAACTGAAATATGCAGCAGCAAGCTCTGAGAGATAAGACTAGGAAAACAGCAAACAAGGAAGCTAGTAACAATCAGGCTAAAAAGATATGTCCAGTTTAACTTTTTTTTTGTTGTTTAAATCTCGCCTACATTATTTTTTGCAACTGATAGCAGCAAACATACCCAATACCGCTTCCGCCTATTTTCCCCCCCACAACATCAACTCTGCAAGATAATAAGTTGGGCTGAGAAAGAATGATTGGCTGCCTTTCTTAAAGGGAAACGAGAGCTTTGGATTTTTCAGACGGAATTTTGGATCATCAGCATCGACGGCTGGCTCGCAAGCTAGAATACCCCGCCTCCAAAACAAACTAAGGTTTGTTCCCTCGTTCTCCGGGGCAAGAGAAAAAGATCAGCTGCGGACAACCCGAGAAACCTTCCCCGATGGTTTGGACTTGGACTTCCATCACCCCCAACCCAGCAGAGCCATTGCAAAGAACGGCAAAGGACCTCGGGAGGTACAGCACCCCTTCTGCCTCCCCCCCTCCCTTCTTGTGAAATCTCTTCCTCCCTCTCACCCTCCCCCACCCCCCGCCCCTAAAAAAAATAAGGCGAGCTGAAAATTCCACAGCACTTCAGAAATTAAAATTTATCGCCGCTGCGCCGGCCAATCCCGATCACCTCTTTCTCTTGACCGACCAACCCTCGAACGCTCGAGCGAGAAGAGCCTCAGTCTCGGAGTCAACAGCTTTTTTATTGGCAAACCGACGGCCTTACGTCGACGGTGGCGCGCGCGGCTGATTGGATGGGTAGGCGGGGTTTTTTTTATGCACGTGTGTTATTGTCCGCGCTGCGTTCGGGAGATAACGCCCATGTGTCTTACTCTTCGCCCAGCCAATCACCGGATCGAAGATCCGCCTCCTTTTTTCTTCCTACTCTGCGATAGGCCGAAGGTCTGCAAAAAGCCACGCCCTCCCTGCTTACTGGAGGGAGATTTAAAGCCGCGTTTAATGACGCCCAAAAGGATTTTTGGAAGGGGGTGCTCCGATTCGGGGGCCAATCATGCAATTTCCGAATTCTTTGTCGGACATCTCGACTGCCGTAACTGGCCGGTAGTTGCCTTTAGATTTCGGGTGTTGGGTGGAGCTTCGTTTTAAACTTGGCGACCTTCTCCCGTTTTCTTATCTCTCTGGGTCGGTAAAGTGAGCGGGGTGGAGGCTGCTGAGACGGAGTGCAATGTCTGGCTTCCTAATTGGGGAACGTTACAGGTAGTCCTCAACTTACGACCAAAGCTGAGCCCAAATTTTATATTGCGAAGTGAGTTTTGCCCCATTTTGTGACTTTTCTTGCAACATTTGTTAAGGGAATCACAGCCGTTCTTAAATTATTCACATGGTTGTTAAGTGAATCTGGTTGTTAAATCCCCATTGACTTTGCTTGTCAGAAGGTTGTCAAAGGGTATTGTATGATTCTGGGACCCTCACAACCGTCATAAATGTGAGTCAGTTGTCAAGCATCCAAATGTAATTCATGGTCGTAAGTGTGAAAAATGGTCATAAGTCACTTTTTTCAGTGCCATTGTAGCTTTGGACGGTCACTAAATGAACTGTGGTAAGTCAAGGACTAACTGTATACTGTTTCAGTAGACTAAGTGTTTGAGTTGCGTTAGGTGATTGGGAACACTCAGCAGAGCTTGCCTATCTTTTTTTTTTCTCCTATAACTTACAATCTACTTGCATTAAGGGCTATGTGCCAATTTGTGAGCCTGTCAGTCTGAATGGCTAGAGTGGGTAAACATTTTTGAAGATTAAGTTTAGTTTTATATTGCAATGATGTTTTTCCTTATTTGTTGAAATTTGCCTGGGCTGTCTGCTGGAAGAACCGCTGCATTTCAGCGAAGAACAACTTACTGCAGTCACATCTGTGTTTGAAAGGAACTTATAAGTAACAAAACTGGGAAGAGAAGTTGCATTATTAACATAATAGGAGTCTAAAGTTAGGATATTTCTTTGAAGCCTCAAGAAAAGCCCAAATCCATTGGCTCTATGTAAAACATAGTTTATGTAGGCAAACAATTAGGAACGACTTATTATTCTAGGTGTGAGTGGACAACTAATGTTTCTGTTGAATGTTATGATTTCAGTCTTTGATGTCTCAGAAGTGTTTGGAAGTTTCTGAAGTTGGATATTGTGTTGAGCACAATGTTTTAGTCAGTTACTATCTACATAAATCTCAAATTGGGGAAAATTACCCAGATGCTTGCTAAAGCATCTTTAAATTAGTCATGTTTTTGAATTTTCATACTGTTTACAATATAAAGTCAATAAAAAAGTTAAAAGACTTGCTGAAATCTTATTGCCTAAAATAGCTGGGTATTAAACTGGTTTCTGTTTGATGCCTAAAAGATGCTGCAACCAGGTGAGATATGTGTGAGAAAGTTAGCGGCCATGTCCTGGAATGAGGCTACGTCAGATAATAAGAATAACAAAGTGAACAGTTCCAAGTCATGAAAATAGTTCAAATCTTTTCTAAGTTTAATAATGCATTTTACCTTTGAGAATACATTTTACCAGATGGAAAATTTGTGCAAATCACTTTGGATTCTCTCAAAGAAGGGCAGGACAAAGATAAAATATTCCCCATTCTATGTATAATACTACTATAAAAGGAACACACCAGTTAGATAAGAAGTGGGGGCAATCTTCATTTTATTTAGATACCTGGAGTCAAGATTCACTCAAAAGACCATATCAATAACAACCAGTGATTCCATCAGTGCCCTGACATTTTTAAAAATCTCAACTATCTTTAAAAATGTAACTTCATTCAAAAGTGGTAATAAAAGTTAATATGGCCCATTATTTTTTGTGAAGAAGGAATCTTTATGAAAACAGTGCATTAATGCTTAAAGAAATTAGGAGATTCACTTGGAAATGGGTGGTTGTTTAATTTTCAAGTTTTAAAATATATGTTAGAGAAAGATAACAATGCCTTAGAGAGAAAAATATGGTGGATGTACTCTGTTTCTACTTTTTTCTGACAGGCAGATCTTATTCAAGGTTCTCTCTCAGGTGGCTGGCACAGGTATTTTGCTGCACAGTTTCTGCAATATTTGAGTATCTCTGGAATAAGTGACAGGAGCTTCTCCTCAGAAGTTCTCTGTGAAGCCTTTAAGAGGTCTTTTTCCAACTGCTAAGAGCTATCCCAATTCTCAGGTTCCTCCCCTAGTACTCCCAGTTTTTAAATTCAGCAGAATACCTGTGGAGGGATAGTCTGGATGTTTACAAAGCTCCCCATCTTAGCAACATGGATGGACAGGACTGGAGCAGGGGTATGAAGACAATTGTTACTGTATTCCAGAACATGTAATTACTTTGAGGACAAAGTTCTGCTTGCATGATGGATATTGCATTCTTCTGTAGATCAATTGGAGGAAGCACAGATTGATGCATAATAATCTTTGTACATTTTGCTTTTGTGGTGGCAGTAGTGACATTAATTGTTTTGGATGTATCAGAGATGAAATGGAAATGGTGTGGAAGGCTTTTCATTTAAATTACAATCTAATAGATTCTTGCCTAAACAGAACGTGTGGTTCAAAATGAATTGCAGATCTTCATCCAGTAGATGAGCCTCTATGTTAATAATATAACTCTAGTCAGAGTTGCCACATGCAGCAGTAACATTTTTGAGTGACAAACTGCATCGCAGATCATGGTACTTTAATATTTAGCCATTTCTACACAAAATTATTTGTGTTGAGTGCTTTTATGCCACTTCAACTGTGCTTTGTTTAAGGCTATGAAAAGTCTGTAGGTAGAATATTCATTTAAGTCTTTCCCCCCACTGTTCATTCACTGTATTGAACATAATGTTTTTCCACTACATTTTGAAGTCAATAGCCCAAGTAAAGATCACTGGATTATGTTGTAAACTAGATTTACTGTGTTAAATAAAAAGCCTAAATCCACTTGAGTATTCCAAGTGTGTGATGTATAGACAAAAAAAGCATGGGATAACAAAAGATATAATAGAGGTAGTCCAGGGGTGAAATGCTCCCGGTTCGGATCGGCTTGGACGAGTAGGTAGCGATGGCGGCGGGCAGTTCGGAGAATCGGTAGCAAAAATCCCTGCCCCCGCCCCCCATGCCCAGCTGAGCCGTGTGATCATCAAAGCCTTTTTTTCCTTTTAAATGGCTCTGACCAGCCAAGCTCTGATGATCCAAGCTCTGACGATCTGCTAATTAGCTCTGCTAATCAGGCAACTCAGCTTGGATTGTCAGACCCATTTAAAGGAAAAGAAAGTTTCTTTTTTTCTCCCTCCCCCCCAGCTTGCTTACCTTAGCTGCTGGTCGCAAGGCAATCCATTGCATCAGCAAGCAACTGAATCTCTCTGCCTGCAATCAAGCTCATCGGTGAGCAGCTCTATCTGCAACTTTAAGATTTGTGGACTTCAACTCCCAGCAAAGCTGGCTGAAGAATTCTGGGAGTTGAAGTCCACAAGTCTTAAAGTTGCCAAGGTTGGAGACCCCTGTTCTATTGGGTAAGTTTTTTCCCCTTTGGGAACTTTAAAAAAAATAGTTAATTGGGGTTTTTTTTAGTTGTTCTTTTTTTAAACCTGGCCATTTAATGTTTAGGAAGTTTTGAATTTAGCTGCTTTTATATAAAAATAAAAAAAGCTTTCTGCAGATTTAGTGTGTTTCTGTAGTGTTTCACTCTAACTACACAAACACACAAAATCTCACAAAGCTGTATGTGGAATTTTGTGTGTGTAAAGTGTGAAAGTTGGTTTTTTGGGCTTTTTGTGGCTGTGTGAGGTTTCTGCTTGTTGCGGGGCCATTTTGGGTCTAGCACAGCTGCTTTTACATTGTGGGTGAGCCTGTTGTGTTGTGTTTTGTAGGTTAAAAAAGGGCAAAGAAGTGACATTGACTTGGCCACGGCCACCCAGTCACCTTACCAGCAAACCCCGCCCACTAATTAAGCCACGCCCACAGAACCGGTAGCAAAAAATTTTAGATTTCATCCCTGAGGTAGTCCCTGACTTATGACCACAATTGAACTCAAAATTTCCATTGTTAAGCAAGACAGTTATTACATGAGTTTTATCCCATATGAATCTGGATTCCCTATGGACTTTGTTTGTCACAAGTTCGCAAAAGGGATTCAAATGGCCCTGGGACACTGCAACTGCCATAAATATATGTCTGTTGCCAAGCATCTGAATTTTGACCACATGACCACAGGGATGCTGCAACGGTTGTATGAAAAAGGTCATAATTCACTTTTTCAGTGCTGTTGAAACTTTGAAGGGTCACTAAGTGAACTGCTGTAAGTTGAGAACTATATACCCTGTTTCCCCGAAAATAAGACATCCCCTGATAATAAGCCCAATTGGGCTTTTGAGCGCATGCGCTAAAATAAGCCTCCCCCTGAAAATAAGCCCTCCCCAAAAATATTTAAATGCAGAGCTGGAAATCAGGTAAGACAGCAAGAGGAGCCCCATCTTGCTCCACGCACCCCAAAATAATAAGACCTCCCCGAAAATAAGGCCAAGCGCTTATTTCGGGGTTCAAAAAAAATATAAGACAGGGTCTTATTTTTGGAGAAACACAGTATTAGAATCTGTTCTTGAGAAAGCCACGACTTTGTGTAGAACCTGCTTTCTTCTTTCCTTCTTCAAGCAGGTGTGTGCTGCAGACATCTTTCTTGAATCCTCTAAGCTTTCTTTTCTAAGGACTACTTTTCAAAAAAAATACTTTAATGAAAAGGATCTAGAGACTGATATGCAGCAAAGAAGTCCCTGAATCTAACATTAGAATGCTTCTAGGCTTGATATGTAGTCATGGAGGCTAAAAAGATAAATAAATGCAGCCCAGTGCATTATTTAGGAGTGCATCCATGTCTCCCAGAAGAAGGTAAAGAATAACTTGGGGACGGAGCTAAAGAGCAGGTGGAGAACAACCTCACAAGTTTGCCCTTTAGTAAATGCATTATTTTTTACTGGCCATAAACCTCATGGATGCCATTTAATGATGGTTATCAATGCTGTGTGCTCAGAATTCTACCAGTGTCTTAGAAGGAAATAACCCCTGATTTTAAATGATCTGAAATTAGAAAACATTTAATTCCAATGATCAGTTCTTACTGTTGATAGTTTTTTTAAAGGTTTGATGCTTCAATTCTTTTTCCAGAGAAAAAGATTACATATTGAGAGAGCTCTTACCATCAACTTCTTCTTTATCTCTAATGTGTAGAAATCAGTTGCATTTTTCCAAATTCTGTGAAAGTCTCACTTGATCTCTTTTGCTCTGTGAATATTTGAAGAATAGTGACTTCACAAATGGAAAGTTAAGATACAAATGCATTGTGTCTCCATGTTCAGTAATCCAACTTTTTTATTTTCTTCAAATAGGTCGTTTCAGGTTTTCTCACCTGAAGTAAAGATGGTGAGTGTGGGGGTAGGTACAAGGTCCGACTGGGTGAGAAAATCCTGTCCAGGATCTGGGTAAGTTTTGTAAGAGATATTTCTATAGTTTATTAAGTTATTGATATGTTTCTCTGTCTAGCATTTTTCCTTCCATTTGTAGAACTTATATAGAGACAGATGAGGCTGTCTTGCGAAGAAGGCAAAAGCAGATAGATTATGGGAAAAATACCATTGGTTACCAGCACTTTGTCCAACAGGTTCCCAAGTAAGCAGTAACTGTTAGACTTCTACATAACGAAAGCTTGGGTGGGCTCTTATTGTGGTCATCACTAGCAGTTCTTTTCAAAGTTCTGATATTTGGGCTGTTCATTTTTGAATCTGGTCTTGAGGTAAAGACCTTTGAAAGACTTGCTTTAACAGTTTTCTCTGTGCTCCTTCTTTGGGAGGCCTTGAGGTGCCTTTTAATTTCTCATGCTTCATTCTAGGATGGCTCGTCAGTCAGGTATTCATCCCTGTACTCCAAATAAATATAAAAAGTACAGTCGTCGTTCGTGGGACATGCAGATTAAGCTTTGGCGAAGGGCACTTCATGGTTGGGATCCACCTGGACATGAGAGGGAAGTATTTCTAATAATAAAAATGCTGCCCAACTCTCAACAAATCTGAATGACTCACAATAATCAAATAAACAACAAAAACAAAAATTACAATAAAAGCAATTAAAGCTAAAAGATGGCAAATGCAATGAAGCAAGCAGTGTTACTCCCCTTCACCAAAGGCCTGGATGAAAAGTTTTTCAGGCTCTTCTAAACCAGAGTGGGGGCCATCCAGATCTTGGGATCCTTGTTCCAGGGAGCATCTTAATTGAATTGGTGAAGCCGATGCTATGGGAGGCAGGCAGTCCCTCAAGTAACCAGCTCTATGCCTTTAAGTATACATAACAACAAGCACCTTGTATCAAACCCAGTTGCAAACTGGCAACTAGTGCAGCTTGCAAAGTAGAGATATTATATGGGCAGATAGAGGCATGCTTCATTCTGGACCAATTGGAGCTTTTGAGTGGTTTTCAAGGGCAGTCTCATGTACAGTGTGTTGTGGAAGTCAAATCACAAGGTGACATGAGTATAAATGATTGTCTGAAGGACCCCCTAATCTAGGAAACAGTGTAAGGGGCACACTAGATGGAGTTGTGCAAAAATCTTTCTGGCCACAGCTAACACTTGTTCATTAAGTAGGAGCTATAAGTCCAGGAAGACCCTTAGATTCCTAATTATGCTTACTTGGCTTGAGCAGAAATTTGTAAAAGTAAATTAAGAGACACCCAACCATATACTTCTCCGGTCAGATATTTTGCTATCAGAAACCTATTAATAAAATCCATCGTTTGGCAGGTTCACTTTTAAACACAATTCTATATTGTAAATAGCCACCTTTATTGTGCAATATTTACTGCCAGCACCTGGTGACCCACTTATAAAGTAATGCTCCCACACTATTCAGGAATTGCAGGCCTAGTCTCCAGTCCATATGCACTCTCCTTGGTATTCCTTATCACCATGGAGACAGAGTTAATTGTCAACAGAGTTGTCATGCTCTTCAGTGAGAGCAAATGATTCTGGTGCCCATCAGAGGCTGGGAGTATTTTGCACTATATTAAGGTGGAAAATGAGAAGGATCACATATATGAGAAAAGAAGGAAGAAGTGAGTAAAACACCATTTTATATTTTCATTCCATTAATTTCCATGGGTTGCCTATATATTGGCTACCATTCTGTGACAGAAGGTAGAAGCATTTAGGCTGACACATTCAACTACTCCTATTCCATTTTTCCAATGGGTTTTTATTTGCATTCTAAGATAGGATTCTAAGATAGGAGTATGGAACATTTTGTGGGTTTAAGACTGAATTTCCGAAAAATGTTTTGAAGGGCCACATGGCAATTGGCAAGGGAACAGTCCAAAGTGACTGGGTCACCCTCTTTTCTCTCTGGGCTCTAAATGAGTTGTCAGCAAAAACCTAGACAGCTCTTTCTGGAGGTCTAAACCAACTGTTAAGATAGACAACTGCAGATTGCTTTTTTCCAGTTTAGGCTCTAAAGCTATTTAATGCATTTGCTGCCTGGCTTAGTATGAACAACCTGCTCTGTTTTGCAAGGCAGGAGCTGGTGACCAAAATGGATCTTTGGTCTAATTTCCCAAATGACTGGTTTGATGCTCAGTGTATTCAGGAAAATATTTGTGAAGAAGTTCTAGGAGAACAGGTATTGGGATTTTGTTTAATTATATTCTATATGGCCTTATTTTGGAATAGTTAAATAACAAAAGGATTTGACAATGTGTGAACAAAATCATAACCTGTATTTAATGCTAAGCAGAGCTGAGCATTCTATATCTTTATGTGACATAAGATTCTAAGTATGGGCTTAGTATTATGGACATACACAAAACCTTCCTTTTTTAAAATGACATCTTCAGACCAGTTACTAAGTTAGACTACTTATTTAATGTTATTGTTCTGCTCCCATAGATTTCTGGATTGTCCTCTTCTGGCCATTTATATCCGCTGCTTCAGGATACACTCTCCAACATGGAACATTTCAAGGAAGATGCTGAAGACTGTCCATTTGACTCCTGGCTCTTGTTTTCTTCTCATGGGATCCCAACGCAGTCAGTGATCTAAAAGAGAAGACTTAGAGCTTCTCAAGGATTTCAAGGATTATTTTTTTGGCCACTGTGGTCCACCTGTATTGTCACTCAATTTGCTACAAAGTCCATTATTTTATAACAAGATTATCTTCCATTTCTATATTTGATAGCTTTCTATGTAGAGTAATTGTTATTTAGCTAGAACACAAAGCATTTCCTATTGACTCTTCATTATTCATATTCCTATTATAAATGTACAAAGCAATTGATGATTGCTACTAAAGCATTATGGCTTGTTAGTTGCAGTAAGAAAATTGAGAATCAAAGTTCTGAACTATGTACAGGTAATTAAATTGCTCTGAGCTTATGTTCTGTCACTTGGTTTGTTATTGGTTAATTCCTGTCTGCTTCACACATGCCCTGTAGTTGGATAATATAACATATTTTGTATTTGATTCCTAATTGACATCCTTTATTTGCTTGAATATGAATGTTACTTGTGTATGGTGAGGCATGGCAAAAAGTGTTAGGTTCATTATAAGAGTTAAGGGGTACAATTTGCATCTTTCCTTTTGGATAAAAGTGTTTTATTCCATTTCTGTTAAATCTGAATAAGTGTGCCCTCTGTAGGAATATTCAGACAGCTGTCTACTAGAAACTGTAGTGGACAACAAGCAACAGAATCATTGGAATATCTTTGCCTGAGCTTATTGTATTGAATTTCATTTGGTTATTTAAAATTGCTTTCAGGAAAAAAAACAAAACGAGGAACCTGGTCTTACACCATGACTGGTTCACACAATGTACTGAGCAGACTCTTATTTTTGAATGAACTACAGTGACTTGGTGTATACAAGTTAAAGCATAATAAGTGGGTTCACATAACACTAACCAAAATCACATCATTACAGTTGCATGAATACAGCCACTTTGTCAATCTTTAGACATGATGATAGCGTAAAGTTGTAATTCTAGAACTATATTCATATGATATATAGAACTAGAAATTAGCTCACCACATTTTAGCTTTGTAGATCTGCAAACTCAGCCCATGTGTTTAGTAGGTGGGTAGTAAAACACATTGATTGGGTTATGTTAACCATAAGTAAGCATGTGCTAATACAAGTTATGTACTCTTCTGAAAGTAAATATTTGCTTTACTGAAACTTAACAAATGTTGGAGTACACTGTAATTATTCATTACACTCCTACAATCTGTCATACTTTGTTCCAATCAGGGTAATAGCTGTTTGTTTATGCTTTTTATAAATAGACTTGGAGATACTTTTTTTTTCTTAATGGAAGGGTCAACATTCAAGAGTAATAGTCTCAGCTGGCTGTTGTGCAATTTCAGATAGGAATTAGATGTCTGGTAGAAAGCAAAATACTCTTGACATGCTTGTCAAGCTATATTTTAGATATATTTTTTACCATAAAATATGAATTCGGAAATGTTATGTATTTAATAAAGTTGCGCAATCTCAGAATTTCAACCATGCCTGTTTGCTCGGCAGAAATCCAAAGAACGAATTGCACCCCAGTCATCCAAAGGTTGTCCATTCTAGTAAAAAAAAAAAAAAACAACCACCCCACCACATTGTACTACGTATCCCGTCATACTTTGCTACGTGGTACGGTCCATGGGGGGGGGGATGTACTTGTGGGGCCGAGACTGTGCCTCGTAAAAGATAGAAATCTTTGCGTAGCCGGAGGGAGGCGTGTGTTAGCTCCGGACGGATGCGTGAGTCTTGTTTCTGAAACTGCCTTCTCGATTGCCCCCGAGATATTTGACCCCCTGCCCCCCCCCCACTGTTGTGTGGTTGGTTCGGCCCAAGCAGGTCGATCCACTCCCGACGGAAAGGGGAGCGGAGGCTCCTGGCGGGGGGCTGGGAGCCCGGGCCGCCGGGTGGGGGCGGCAGCTGGAAGACGGAGAGGGCCGGCCGGCAGCGGGTGCCAGTGCTTGGGAGTCCAGGAGGCAATCTCCCTTCAGTTGGATGGTTGGTTCCAGCGGTGTTTAGAATAGGGAGTGGGGGGCGCGTGAGACTATTGGGGCGCACTACTTCTCTGGCTGAGCCGCCGCGAGGTGTTGGAGCTGCCGCCCCCTCCAGCAGGCGCGAGGGGGCGGGGGAGGGATCGGCTGTTCGGTACGTGCCGAAGGGGCTGCAGAGCTTGAGTGGGTAATGTGGGGATGTGGGGAGGGGGGAGGAACACACTGGGCGTGAGGTGGGAAAGCAGCAGCAGGCTAAGGTGGGATGGTCTTTGTGAAGAGATGGGGGGCTTGTGGACATGTTGTCATAAAAAAGGAAGTCGGGGTGGTTTTGTTTTTATGCGGGAGGGGGGGGTTGATGGAGAGAGAGAGAGAGAGAGAGAGAAGCAAGGTGGGGATTTCGGGCAAGGAGGTGGCTGTTGTCTCTAAGTGGGTGAATCTGTATGGGAATTTGGGGTGGAATGGAGGGCCTCGGTGGAGAAGTGGGGAGGAGGTGATTGGCTCCTTCAGAAGAGGGTGGAACAGGGCCTGCTTTGTTAAGAGACTGCGTCCCCTGTGGATGCATTTCTAAAACTAGGTTGATGGGACCCATTCTTAAAAGCAGTCGAATCCCCACTGCTTGTGATACAGTCTTTTGGCGTGTGGAGCCTTACTAGTATGTGTGTCTTTGCAGCAGGGAACCCTGAGGTTGCTTAAGGCCTACCTCTTGATTTGTGCTTACTAAGTAGGTAATTATGTAATTGAAGGAACTGAATGAAATCAAATTAGAGACCGGGATGAGAAAGCAACTGCAAAAGAAAATACTTTCTTTTAAAAAGGGTTGTTGGCATGCTTGGCTTTAATGTTAAAAGGCATCAAGTAAAATGGCTTCATTTATCTGGAGCCTTTTAAAGGCCCATGACCTGAAGCTATTAAAATAAGGAGGAGTACAGGAAGATGCAGTGTATAATTGCAGAACAGGAAATGAAGCAAAATAATAATTTTGGCTAACAGTCGTGAAGAATAATCAGGAGGTGTTTTCCAGATAATACGAGATTTAAATTCTACTTATTCTTCCACACTTCTTTTACATTATTTACTTGAGGTCTGTGGAAGATTATAGTACATGTTTTAGCTGATTCTCACAATAGTCCTAATAGTTAGGAAATAGTGGAAAGATACTGACTTATTCAAGGCCACCCAGTAGGCTCCCTGACTGAGCAGAGAGGTCTGAACTTCTTTCAGATGCAAATCTAGTATATTCTATTAACTGCTAAATGAATCAGGATTACAGTTCTTGATTAATTTTAAAATAGAGCTAATATAAATTGTCTAGATTGGCATCTAAGACACATTTAGCCCAGAAAAACTTGAGGAAATTTTATAAACACCTATGTATGATAAGTGTAATGTTGATTTTAATGGTTATTTCTGTTAAGTGAAATGGAAAACGTAGAAAGGTAGAGGAACAAGTTCCATTAACTTAAATTAATTTGCTCCAAAGTAAGCCTGGTTTTGCATAACTTGCTAGGGTAAAATAAAGTGTGTGACTCGCTGCATTGTGCAAACCCAGCCAGTACTGTATATTTAATTTATTGGTTAGTGTGCACTATGTACCCAGACAGCTGGGTTAATTATGGGCTTGCATGTTGTGTGAACAAAGCCTCAATTTACAATTGCAGTTAATTTGTAATAGTAACTGAACTGTTGTAGGTATCTCTTTAAAATGTAGGATAAAAAGGTATTTTTAGATAGCCCTCTTAATTCTTAATGAATCTAACATTTTTGAATATGCATTTTATTGTTTCTACTTATTTAGCACCACTAGTATATTCTACTTCCCTGAATTTCAAAAGCAAATATAAACAAGGGGGTAGGTGTCCAACCTAAAAGACCTTAACATTTAAAGCAAGCAATGAAGAAGAGAATAAAACCGGGCGGTAAGAAGAGGAAGATGGAGAGACTGAATGTGAGCAAATCTACTTAAATTAGTACTAGATTTCTAATAAAAGCCCTTTCTCCTTTGTACAGTATTTTTTTGTCTTTAGAATTCTATCTTTCTCTATCATTGAGATATGTAATCATTATTTACTTTAAATGATAAGGCTACTAAATCTATGGAGCCCCTTCACCCATGATAGCAAAAAGTTTTTTTGTATCACTTTTATTATTAATATTTGAGCAGAAAGGATATTATGGAAGTTAAAGATACTAAAAAATAATTAAGAAATGAAACATTAGTTTCATTCATCAACATGGTTTCAGAAAAAAATCATTAGATCTTTCCTGTTTTTTCTAATTTCTTTAAGATAGATGTTAGGCTGCCAACTATTTTAATCTGAAATATAGTCACTTGTGATTAAATGATGAGTGAGTTATACTAATCCTTGAATAGTTATAATTAATTGAGTTTATAAAATTAACCCATAAACTTATTTTGTTTTGACTTCAAATGTAGTGTACACCTAGCCATAATGATTTGTGAATTATCATTTATAGCTTGGTACAAATAGCTGATTGTGGTTTAATCAACATATTATTCTTAAAGATGTTAGGACAGCATGATTTGTGAACTAGATTACTCTATATATTGACAAAAATACTATTCTTCCTCAAAAGTAAGCTTTATTGAAATCAGCAAGTATGCTGATATGTATTGGATTAGACTAGATTGGTTGCAATGAAAACCTGTTGCTATGTACTTAGACATAAGACACATTTAGCTACTGTTATTTATAGGTAAAATGTGCAGAGGATTTGAACTTTGCAATATTCAAAGTATTGTTTAACCATTAATCTGCTTTTACTAAGAATGAATGAAACAAATAGTTTTTCTCTACTACAGTTTAAAAATTGTTATGCTCACTTTAAAAAAATACATAACAAAGTTTGTCTATGTTGATAAACAAATAGTATTGTTAATTTTCATTAACTTGTACAAAACAAAATGGTAAATTAGCAAGGTATTCCGAAAGCAAATAAAGTATATTGAAAATTGAAGTAAATAATTTAGTAAAATACAGCATGAGAGATTAGTTATACAAATGAAGAAAGGAATCTCAAATTGGGATAAAGATAGCAATATTACATAGTTGACTGTAATTTATAATCCAATTTATTGAATGCTGAGCAATGCTGATAAGAAACAGCACATGGACTATGGGATTGTTCATGTTTTTGCATACAGTAATTCGTTTGGTTTCCTTATCATGAAGCATTGTATGTTTTGCCATAATATATTTAAGAAGGTATTTATTTATTTATTGGATTATGTGGCTACCCATATAAAGTAACTCTGGATAGCTAACTATATAGGAAATATGGTGGGGGCAGGAGGTCTGAGACCTTAAGGGTGAGTGTTAAGAGCAAGGGCAAATTACCACTGTGATGGCAGAGGAAGGCATGCCTTGAGCAGGATGTTTTAGCAATAGCACTTAGACTTATATACCACTTCATAGTGCTTTACAGCCCTCTCTAAGCGGTTTACAG